TATATATATATAAATAAATATATAGATATATATATACAAATAAATATATACAAATAAATATATTAATAAATATATTAATATTTATATATATAAATATATATATGTATAAATATATATATAAATATATATATATACAAATAAATATACAGTATAAAAAATATATGAACTTATTATTATATATATATAAATATACAAATAAATATATATATAAATACATAAATAAATATATGAACATATATAAATATACAAATAAATATACAAACAATATATAAAAGAATTTAAAAAATAATATAAATAAATATATAACATATAAATATATATAAATATATACAAGTACATACACAAATAAATATACAAAAATATACAAATATATAAATGAATATATATAAATAAATATATATATATAAATATACAAATAAATATAAAAATATATAAATAAATATATAAATATATCGCTGGCTCGCACTTTGTCACGACCCTTAGCAATACTAAATCTGTATAAAGCACTTATTCTACTGGTAATAACATATTGCTGTTGTATCTGGGCGCCTAATGAAAATGTAAATATTAGTAGGTTGGAGAGGGTACAGAGGAAAGCCACACTAGAATTATTATTCATAGACAAGAAGAAATTTGGGACAATTCATATTCATATAAAATAAAGACATTAAATATTTTAAGTATTGAAGATATGTTTAAAGTTCATTGACTTACCCTTGGTTTTAAGATTATGAGTGGCTACTGTCTCTCTTGTGATGGGCGTTTGATACATTGGAAAGCCAAAACCAATACATTTTTAAATTAATCTTTTGTAATTTTTCCAAGACTTTGGGAACAACTTCCAGTACAAATTCAGCAATCCTCAACCATTTCTGATTTCAAAGCTCAACTAACTAAATACTTGATCGCAAGATCTAGGCCTACACAGACAGGCCTATAGACCTAGCCTAGCTCCCTTGTCACAGACCTAAACAAGGGTAGCCTACTGTTCCACAGAGTTTGCATGAAACGGACTCGTCAGTCATCGTTCGCACATCTGTACATTGTTTTGACAATGTTCGTGACTTAATTGTTGACATTTGACATAAATTGAATCTAAGCCTTGCGATTGGTCCATCGGCCGCGAATTTGCTCGCGAATCTGAAAAAGTTGGTCTTGGATCAACTCTTGTGAATTCACAGGCGAAGCCTCAGTGACCACCGCGCGCACCGCGTCGAAGTTCGAATATTGGGTGTTCGCGTGTTCGACTACAAATTCGTTTGCATGTTCACATTGGAAATGCCAGTCGCGTCTTCGATTCAGCAGTGCGCGCCTCATTTCGACGCGAAATTCGCTTGATCGCATTCAGTGGGAACCGGCCTATACCTAGGGTCTATTCTCTATCTCTCGAATCCGGGTCAATTTCAAGAATTAGGTAGACTTCGGCCGCCGACAATATCGGCCGCCACCGATCGAGTGCCAAAAAGTATGGAGCGCTGATAATGCTCTCTTTTTGCTTGCTTTCAATCAAAGAGCACTCCTTTCAAACAATGAGCCCTCGCTATGTTCAGTGTTTTATGCTAATTAAGCAATCAAGTTCATTCATTGTGTGATTTTTTTTTTTTTTTAGCTTTCCAGTATTGAACGGAATAACGTTTGAACCGATGTTGAATCAACGAACATTAATTGTATAAATATACAATAAAAGTCTAATGTAAAAGACCAAAGATTACATGTTTTTTTTTTATAATCAGTTGTGCCGGCCATAAAAAGAGAAAAGAACAAAGATAACATGTTTTTTAGCATTAATTGCGCTATATTTTGTATCCTACTTAAATACTTTTATAAGGTTTATGAGAATTTCTTCAGAAATAATAAAGTATATTAGGCCTAATGTCATATATGATTGTGATATTGATTTTAAAGGGGGGTGCGGGAATGAAACGAATAATTTTTAATTTAAAATAGAGGGATGGGCGACCACAAAGACGGTGACGGCACTCGGTTTTGGAGCGAGGTATTCGAAAACGAGGCTCGTGAACTGGGTCCCAAAAAAAAAAATGGTGCTACAGGATTTGGAGCTAGTTTTATAAGATAGGGAATTTCCTAAAATGTACCGACTTTCAAAGGCTTGCATTCGGTGACCCCATAAAAAAATTGTGTCAAACTTTAGATATTCCAATGTAAATTTGGCCGTTCTTTTCATTTATATGGGTTTTCACTTATGAAAATGTCTCAATTATGTGTAAAATAACGATTTGCCCCAGTTTTTATTTCGGAAATTTGCACTAGACAGGGAGTCAGCTGATTCACTCAACCGTAACGAGCTGGTAACGACATTAGCCAACTGATGAGAATGGTCGTCGCAAGCGGAAAATGGAAAAATTAGGACTGGCGAAAATATTCAATAATAATAATAAAATAAGTTGAAGGCATCTTTCAAAAAGATATGTTTGCTGGTTTGAATAAGGAAGTCTTGGAAGTGGTGATCTTAATAGTGGCGTTAAATAGGTTTGTTTAATACCAACTTGTCTTACCTGTGTAGGCATAGCCTAGCATTTAGTGCAGTACTGTATGTATGTAGAGAATACGGAATACTACTACTACTACTGCCTGGCGCGACCCAGGCCTAGGCCCCTAGTTTAGGTCTAGGCATACAAACTATAATAATAATAATAATATTTCAAACATTAGACAAACAAACAACACTATTTTAAATAAAGTGCATTAATTTACATGTTAATTATTAGATCCATGGAACTATCTAGGACCTACTACTTCTACAGCATTATTACTAAAATGCCAGTTTATTCGTCGTGGAATGTGGATGATACCTTGAAAGCTAGCTCAAATTTGCGCGGAAAATGGCTTGCAAAGATGTGCACAGAACTTAACTTCTGCATAATACATTGGCAATGGTTATATAC